CTGTACAGTACCCAAAGCTTTATCATTTTTCGGGCAATTTGCATGTTTTAGAGTAACATCCCCAAAATCTTCCGGCGTCCTCCTCAGTACAGGGGGATAGACCTTGTCATTCAAGCTTTTAGTTTCCCATTGTAGCTTACTTGTTTTGCTCCACCTACTAGATCTATCTGACGGATCGGAAATGCTGCGTCATCCGTCGAGCAATACTCATAGTGCTTATTCTTCCACCGAACGAGTATATAGACATCGGCGCTGTACCGGCGGCTGAGTTGGTCACACCTTCGAAGCGTGCGAAGGACAGCTCTCACTAGATTGTCCCTTGTCCTATCACGCCTCTTGGGTAGAGTTATTGGATCCTTGATACGGTCTTAAACACTAAAAATACAGATGTGGTCTGGAGCTGTGTTGTGCCCCGGGGATGGTGGCATTTAAAAATACCTTGGAATAATCGCTTTAAACGGGTTAGCGCCGTGTCTTTGTGAAAGACCGGCCATAACCCGCGCAACTAGCAGATTTACAAGAGGCTGTCCTACATTAGCTGAATTACGGACAAAGTATCTTTCGCGGGATGTTTTGGACTTTCAGAGAAGTCACCCACCCCGAGCAGCCAGTGCTGAAGCTACCACAACAGTGCGTAACACTTAAGCCATTGACTCAAGCTGAGCTTTGGATATGCACCAATTCTAGCTGTTCTTCTTTCGTCGACCAAGCAGGTGTAGTATTGTTTTGTGGATGTAGAGTGCGTGGATTCATTTCCAGTTGTTGCATCCATATCATTCTGCCCTTGGTATTGCGACCATGTTTAGAGCACTGCATACTGGCACGGACCATCTGCAAGACCCTGCTACAGGGTCATAAAATGGCAGCTTTCGGAGCTTTCTTAGAGTTCAAGAAGCAGAATCCGGCAAAATATAGCCATTTCAAGCCTATCAACAGATTATTGCCGAAGTCGTGATACTGGCCATTTCTCGCTTTGTTGGGCCGTTCATGGAGCTGATCAGGACAGGACGTAGCTTCACTCACTATTTACTCTGGGCTTGGGGACTTTTAGGTTTGAATGGGCTAGTGGAGTCTAGTAGTCCACTGAAGCTCTGCAGGCTGACATGGACGACCACTTTCTGGCGAGTGACAGCGACTAGGGTATTCCGACAAAAACGTGTAGACGGTGGCAGCTAGAAACGGCTCGCTAGAAATGGCTCATCATTGCATCGCAAAGGGAAGAAAAAAATATTAAAAATTGAAAGAAAAGAAGGGCCGATGGGGACCTCTTTGGTGTAGTGCTGCTGAATTGCTAGTGGGACTACGATATAGGAGGGGAAGAGAGGGTACTACTGTACCGATAGCATCGCCTTCGCCTGTTATAGTAACACGGCTGGCTCATTCTCACTGCTAAGGACATGCAGCTACAATAAATACCGTACCTGCTCTCGCTTGCTTATTTCAAAAGCAACATGCCTCATCCGTCTTCATACGTTCCCTTACGTC